GCCGCCAGGACAATGGAAATTTGCAATGCGTGTAACCCTTAGTTTGAGTCCTGTGACAAATTTATGAGTGGCATTTGTCTCTCAAGCCATAATGCGAATTATTATTCACAGAATTTCACAAAGCATTTGAATGACAATTATTTGGAATTATTAATTATTTGGATTTGGAATTTAATTTTGAAATTAGTCAGGGGTAAAAACAAATTGATTCTTTAGGGATTCTCCTCTACATAAAATAATTGATTCAAGTCCCACCTTTAAATAAAAATTCTTTAAAAATCTTGTCAAAGATTCTAGGCCTTTTTTACTTTTCCGATTTTAAAATAAAAATACAACATAATGAGCTTACGGAATAAAGTCCCTGGCACAGAAAAAGGGACGAAACATAAGATGTGTTGCCCCTCAATTGAGTTGCCGTATTAGATTTCTCGAGTTACGTGGGTCGAGGCTAAATTAGGGCTCCAGGACATGCAGCCAGGCGGCCGATAGGGACAGGGGCGAGGACCCGGAATGAAATGGATCGGATCAGTATGGGAACGGAAGAAAAGAATCCTTCTTCCGCAGGCGGAATGCGGACACAATTAGGTCGGTTCGTACCCAAGAACCCTTACCTCGGGCTCGCCTTCATGTCGAGTGGAAATCAAATTATTTTAATGATACACAAATTGATACTTTGAAACAAAATAACAAACGAAATGAAAATTGCTTCGGGCACTTTGGACTATTTTTTTTTTTCATTCTTCTACGGTACATATTTATTTTTATAGGAGTGAAAATGGTTGTCATGACACTCGGAGGGGATATATTGTATATATCCTATTCGTATCTTAGGGAGAAGCTGCGACCACCGCAGGTCTCACCAACTTGGGAAAAATTCCGGGAAAGAAACTCTAACGTTGTAGAAAATTAAGTGAAAATTGGATTCTTTACATTTTGCTTTTCCCCATTCAGGTTTCTGTTTAGCTTTTCTTGTTTAGCATTTTGTTTTTTAGAGAATCGACGAGAGTGGCTTTTGGGATGGTGGTGAGGGTTCGGGGCGGAGTGTCTTAATACCTGAAGCGTGTGCAATTGCTATTATTATGCAAATTTTTGCTTTCATTGCATGCGTGTGTTACCCTCTTGCCCCTCTTCGTTGGCTCTTTTCTCTTGGCTGTATCCCTAGCCATTGTTTTGTCTTCATTTGCGTTTTTTTCTGCTTTTTGTAATTTAAATGAGGGTCGGTCCCTTTGGCAGTCCTTTGTCCTCGGTCCTGGCAATAATGAGAGACAATTGAAATGTCAATAGCATGCAATTGTCTGCAATAACATCCCAGGTAACCGCTGTGCATATCCGTATCCGTAACCGTAACCCGGGTCATCATTATCCTGGGGGTACCATTGAGTGACTATGAGGGTCGCTTCACTTCCCATTAGCCATAATCAAATGGATGGCATTACCCATCCAGCTTGGCTGACAAAACGCATTTCCCGATAGCCGGAGGGATAGCCGAGTTACCTCGATACAAACTGCAACACTTTATTTTAATGCCCCCCACTGCGCGGCATTATCTATAATAGCAGTACCATGTAGTATTCCTAATATGGTAACTGGTATAAACGGCAAACTTTAATTTGATGACTCTATCTCTGTACTCGATCTCATGTGCATGTGTAATTAAAACTTTACTCTTCCAGCGCACTGGAGCACTAATCAAATAAACAAATAGCCCGAAACCAAGAAAATTTAAATGAAGTTACAAACTTTAACCGAATTCCTGGACACACACAGACAGACACGGGGCCAAGAAGCCAGGAATGCGGAAAAGCCAAGAGTTAAGGGGATCGGGTCAGAGGAACCTCTGCTACATTAATTACGCATACGCAGCGTTGCCCAATGCCGCAACCATGGCAAATGAATCAGTCCTTCAAAGAGGAGTCAGGACACACACTGTTTCGCTCGGTTAACTTGGCCATCTTGTATGCAAATTAGGATTTGATATCTTGTTGACTTTCTGACCTGACCTGACCGACCCACCGACCGTCATGGGAACTTTCGATTCACAATCAGTATGCGAACTGTTCACTCGAATAAACGCTAAAGTTTCGCCCGGATTGCCTCTTGAAAACCAAATTAAATAGCATATAAACAAGTTCCCAGTGAAAAAACAAAAACTTTTCTTATGGTTTCTCCAGGAATTGGTTAGGCATTGGTTGCCAAAGGCCAAGAACCCAAAACCCCGAACAGATATTTGTAGTTTGGAGTGTATATTACAGGGGGATTCCATATATACTTTTAATGAAACTTTGTTAAATTTTATTACCTCTCTTGATGTTTATCTCTCTTTTAAAAAGAAAATATTTTCTTAGGGTTTTAGGGTTACTGTTTCCTTTCGGAGTTATGGAGTGGTCATTTTTTGTTACTTATAATTCTTAAACAAACTATTGTTAAGTATAATCAGGAAACTTGTCGCAAATCAGGCTATACGCACAAGTTTTTGGCTGCAATGTTAAGCTCCGTCAACGGAAACGGAAGTCAGTTTTCTTGGTATTTTTATGTTTCTTCTTATATCTCTTCTTTTTTTTTTTGGTTTTTTGTTAGCAATTGAAATAGAAATGGAAGGACAATAACAACAACACTGTAACCGAAATGAGAAAAGTTGGGCAAGTCTTTGGCGGAAATGTGGCAAGTAAATTGAAGTACCGACCATACAAAAGCCATATACCCATATCCCCTCGGCCCCACTGCCTCACCCACTCTGCCACAAGGTCGCTGTTTAAATCCAAATTGCTGGCTTTTTGTTTGACATAATCGAAGGATGTGGCCGGCATTGTAGTTGTGTTTCTTATTTTTTTTTTCTTATTGCTGTCATCCCGGTTCCCTTTGGCCAGAAATTCAGAAGGAAATGAAAGCATTTTGTGCGACCAGAGAGCATGCTGGCAAAATAAACGAAAACAGGAGCAGGACCTGCTTTGATCTACCCGGCTGGTGGTATAGCGAGGACCATCGAGGGCTTCGAGGGGTGGATTAAGCGGACATTGAACCGCCATCCCACATCGGACAAGTCACTCAATTACCAAAGTGTCCAGTCGAGCTTATCAGAGCACCCGGATGGCAGGATAGCAGCACGATGGTGGGCATCCTGCCTGGCTGCCTGAATGCCTGAATGGCTGAATGGCAGGATAGCTGGCAGGATAACGGGAGGACATCCCCAATCGCCAATCCTCAGTCCCCACACAAAAGAGGACTCGCTTTGTTCCTCGCTTTGATTAAATGTCAAAACAATTGCGGGCTGCAGCATAATCAAAGCACTGCTTGCGTAATTGCCCAATAAACCGGAAGCTGCACAAAAAGGCTCCTCCTGGCGCGGATCAGGTCTCAGGTCCTTCTCGAGTGTCAATACACAATCAGAGGCTTATGAATAAATTAGTCCGACGACCTTTTATTTTGCTAAAATGAAATTCTATATTTAAGGTAAATAAATGGAATCAAAAGAATGTGAATTTCTTAATAAAAATATACTTTGAATTTCCTTTAAAGTTTAAACATTCTCAAGTGACCACAAATTTAGGCTTTCATTAATGCAAAATACATTTAATTGTCAAGCCCAGAAGTGGCAGAAGTTTTGACATCTTCAGTGACTTAAAAAGTGACTCATTAGCGTTTTCGGGGATGAAGAAGCCCAGCTCGAGGGTGGAGGACTTGGAAGTCCTCATGCAAAGTAAATTTCTAAATAGCAACAAAAGCCAACCAAAAAAGTGACAGTAAAAAAGCACATAAAAAAAATATATATATACTTTTATAAAAAAAAAGACTGCTTACAATTTTGTTGGCATTTCTATTTGGGTATGCAGGAGGCAGAGTCGCCTGATGACCTCATTAATTTTCAATCTGAGCCAGATTACAGTCCACAGCGGTGGTATGATGAATCTCAGCTGTCCCGCCTACTCCCCCAGCTCTCAGACATCCAGCATCCTGCCTGCAACCCCACTCCTCCTAATTTATGATGATAAATGAGTTTCAATCAAGCGGCAAAAGTGAAGTTGACGGCGGCCAGTTGCCCGTTTTGACCACTTGGCGCTCCTTGGTCCAAAGCCTTGGATTTTATGTATAAATTTATACTTAATTCGATTTGACTTTGGCATCGGGGGGGAGGAGGCTTTTCATTTGAATATTTATGAATTATTTTGGGGTATTATTATTATTTTTTTGCCTTCAGAGGCCCGTCAAAGACCCATTTTTCCGTGCACTAAGCTGTGCGATAACAAATTTCAAAAATCAGCGGCTTTATTGATTTTCATTCAAATTCCACAAACCTCCCTGGCCGGGCCCCCCGGTATATGCCATTTTTTCTGCCGTTTCTAATTATGAATTTGGCTTGAAGCACATTTGCATAATCTGTGCCAGCACAAGCGAATAATAATCCATTTGGGTAGATTTAATTTATCGGATTGGTTTCTGGTCCGGCCTGTCCCTCCGTCTCCATCCACCTGATCTGACCCGATGCTGGCATTTGTATTGACCCATTTAGTGGCCAAAAGCAATTGTCATTTATTTAAATAATCTGGCAATATTTCAAATTGTCAGAGCAAACCGACAAAAGGTACACATAAACCCTTTTCAGCAACCAAAATGTAATGACATTGCAGGTCCTTTCGTTTTTGGCCATCGATTGGGAAATGGGCACACAAAGTGACAAAGTCTGTGTGCTGGCTTCATGGCAGTGGAGTGGGGCAGAAAGGGTGTAGATATATTCGTATATCCGATAATTTATTACCGATTCACTTTGGTTGAGCGTCTGGCAAGGTAATTATTATCTTTGGCCAACGGTGCGCATACGTAATGAATGGTCGGATTTAACGGTTTAAGGTTAAAGCAGCAATTTCCTCCTTCCCTGCTTCCCTGTTTCCCTGCTATTATCCTGCGAATTATTTTCCTTTTATATATATCTGCATATATGCCATCCATAGCTGTATACCAGAATTTATGGATTCTTGTTGAATTTACTTTTTTGTGAAGCAATATTTTTGCAGGAAACTGGATGTTTGCTTTTCATTTATTCGAAATGTATATATTCTCAGGCCCAAGTCCTTGGAAAAATGTACCTTTTATTAACCGAAAAAGAATTCACAAAACAGGAGGAAGTAGAATATTGGCTATGTGATCAAAGCCTGTGTGGGTGCATTTGTGGCCCGCAACCCGGGTGGCAAAGTCCATGGCCACCGGCAGTGGGCGATCCCGGATGTACATGGCATAGATGAAGCCAGACACGAAGCAGTCCCCAGCGCCCAGGGCGTCCACCACTTTCATTGGCGTATAAGGCGCAAAGTGGGTATAGTTCCCGGACTTGTCCATAACGCCGCCGCCCAAGGATCCCCAGAGGACAATAACGTAGGGACGACGAAGGTTAAGGCCCCAGCGCATGCGCAGCTGTTCGTCGATGTGGATACAGGCCTCCTTGGGGCTATCCCAGCCGCTGTACGGGGACAGTCGCTTGGAGAAGAAGGCGTAATCGCAATAGTCCAGCAGGGGCCACATCGCGCTCAGGGGCTCGTCCATGGTCAGCGAGATTGTGATCTTCTCGGTCGGATTGGCCTCGTTGTAAGCCACCACGTCCTTGACCATGGCCATGGTACTTTCAAAGTGAATACAATGCAGGTGTATCCAGCCGTACTTGCTCAAGTCCAGTTTCCGGAAGTCCTCAATGGTGACATTGGGAAAGGCCTTGTTGTTGTAAGCTATGATATTCCGGGTTTTTAGTTTTTTGGAGAAAAATACTGTAGAGAAGTCCGGATCCATTTTGCAGGATGGGCAGTTTTTGATGATTATACCGCGGGATTCCATGTCGTCCACCAGGACTTGATACAGATCCAAGGTGCTGAGCATTCCAAAGAACTCGCACTTGACGCCGAGTATCCGCAGAATGGTGCAATTATTTGAGGCACAGCCACCACGTTGCCAGTACCCCTTCTTAGCTTTTATAATTTCGTTTAGTTTGGGAAAGGAGTCGGTGAAGAGTATATAGTCCATGCAGGTGGCTCCGACGCACAGAACTAGCTTCTTTCCGGCTGCCCAGCTTAGTTTGCTTCCATATTCCTTGGATTTCTCCATTTTTGTTAAATTTTTTCTTTTATTTTTAATCGCCAAATGTATCTGTTTAATTTAATTCCATTAAAATACAAAAACTAATGTGACAATAAAGTAAAATCAGTAATTTTAGAAACTTTTGGCAACTACACAAAATTAGGAAAAAATCTGCGTAAAATCCAATCCCGAAATAATCTGGAAAAATGAGCAAATGGTGTGCCCTGAGCTCTGTGCGGACCGTACTCTGTGTGGGTTGCACGGAGGTGGACTATGTGGCTACAGTGGATAAGTGGGACACCGACACGGAGGCCTTTCGCCTCAGGGCTGGTACCTTCCATCGTAGCGGGCGCTCTAGCAATGTCGCCACTGTGCTCCGATTAATGGGCGCCAATGTGGACTTCTTTGGGGTCCTGTCCCGCCTGCCCACCTATCGCATGGTCCTCGATGATTTGGAAAAGGCGGGCATAGGCATAGATAACTGTCACTTCACCGACGAACCACCACCTTTCTCAACTATTATACAGGTAACAACAAATACAGACTTTATGATATTAATTAATGAATAATTTTGCTTGGCAGGAGAGCATAAACAAACGCGTCACCATTTCCTACTGCGATAAGCCCTTCGCCTATGTGAATGCTAAGGATTTTCAAATGTTGGATCTGGACCAGTATGGCTGGGTGAACTTCGAAGGTCGCAATCCTCGGGACACTTGCGACATGATCAACCTAGTCCTGAAATACAACAATGGACGCGAAAAAAGGGACCGCGTTATGGTATCCCTGCAGATCTACAAGGACTTCTCAGACATGGTCGATTTGATTTCAATGTGCGACTACGTCCTGGTCACCAAGTACGTGTGTGAGCAGCAGGGCTGGACCACGCCCCATGAATCGTGCAAGAGCCTAAACAATTGCCTTCGAATGCCGCGTAGTATTAACGTGCGTCGTCCTTGTTTCGTGGTGCCTTGGAGCAGTCTGGGCGCAGGATGCATGAACACCGATGGAGATTACTTTGAGCTACCCGCCATAAAGCCGAAAAGGATTCTGGACCGGGTGGGGGACAGTGACTGCTTCACAGCCGCCTTCATCTATGCCACCTTTATCCGGCAGAGGCATCTCGCCGCTGCCGTTGCTTTCGCCAATGCGGTGGCCAGCTATAAGTTGGCCCACAATGGCTTTACTTGTATTACCCAATTGAACCCCGATTCCCTAAGGTTGCCTGTTGTCATGGAAGGTAAGGACGCGTCTAGCGAAGATGAGGATAACATAGGAGGAGAACAGCAACGGCTGTGCAAGAAGTATCTTTTCCGACCCTCTGTGTTTGTAGGCCCCGCAGATGCCTCCAGTTTGACTTCAGTTCGGAAGGGAGCCTAAAAGTTAATGTTTTAAAAAAAATATATATAAATTCTATAGTTTAATTTTTCTTAAAGATGCTGTTAAAAATTTATTCCAAAATGATTTGTTTTTATGCCAAAAATAATTTATGAGTTAAGTTTTCCAAATAGGGCTGATCCCATATCAAGGCCAAACTAGTTCCCCATGTTTAAGAGTCCTGCCTGAAAAGCGGCTGATTTTGGGTCCTCCATCTTGCTCAGTTCCATGACGAAATCGGTGAAGGCACTCACCACATTCACAAACTGGGCTGAGAATCTCTTGATTTGGCAAAATAGTTCCTTCTTGGCCTCCTCCAGGCCAGTTGAAGCATGATTTTCATCGTCGGTGTGACTCTCCCCTATTTCCTCGAGAGTTATGTGATCGATGGTCTCAGAGTTATCGGCCACAATAATAGTATGACCCTTTCGAATGAAATAGAGTAGAGTGTCCACATCGGCAATAACTGCATTATCCTCGGCACTAATTAAATAACTACCAACGATTCCAAATTTCCCAGCTGGATGTATTTATTATAGTTTTAGTTTTAATAATATGTAAAATGTATAACTTACCAGCCGAGAGAATCTCGTTGATGTATAGAGGATTTTCAAATACTTTCATTACCTTTCGCCTACCATCTCGAGAGGATATGCGCACGAAGAATTGCGGATATCGAACAAAGGACATTTTGGGATTCAATTTTGGGCGTCTGCCTTTTGAAATCAGCCACGACTATGGGTAATTTTGTTATAATGAAAAATTTTGACAAGAAAAACGGTGTTAATGGTCCGTTTGGTGTTCAGAAAGTGAAGCCTGACATATAAAGGCTATATTTAAAATCGTAGAGCGATCTCTATTCTCTAAATATTTTAATATAGCACAAGTCGGTGTTATTTTTTTAGTTTTTCTTACAACGTACTCCTACAAAATTGTGGGTTTCCCCAGTTTTGCCACTTTTCCTCCTTCCGATGGCCATCGATCGATGGCGCTGCATATTTGTATCCGATCAGGAAATAAGGCACCATTTTTTAATCAGCAAACCCAGAATCGATTTTCCTTGTTCAAAAAATTGCTTAAATATCGTTTTCAAAATTTTCGAATTTTTTTCAAGGGGCTCCCCTATAAAATTGTTGATATTTAAGCAATATTTTAAATGAGGAAACGCTTCTGGATTCGCTGATTACTGAATGGTACTTTGTTTCCTGATCGGATATAAATTGGCAGAGCTATGGCCATCGGAAGGGGCAAAAGTACTGAAATTAGGAAAACCCACCATTTTATAGGTGAGCCCCTTGGAAAAATTCGAAAACTTTGAAAACGATATTTAACCAATGTTTTGAATGAGGAAAGTCGCTTCTGGGTTCGCTGATTTCTGAATGGTACTTTGTTTCCTGATCGGATACAAATTGGCAGAGCTATGGGCATCAGAAGGGGCAAAAGTGGAGAAATGAGAAAAACGCACAATTTTATAAGGGAGCCCCTTGGAAAAAATTCAAAAAAAATTTTGAAATCGATATTTAACCAATGTTTTGAATGAGGAAAGTCGCCTCTGGGTTCGCTGATTACTGAATGGTACTTTGTTTCCTGATCGGATACAAATTGGCAGGGCTATGGTTAACGGAAGGGGCAAAAGTACTAAAATTAGGAAAACCCACAATTTTATAGGGGAGCCCCTTGGAAAAAATTCGAAAATTTTGAAATCGATATTTAACCAATGTTTTGAATGAGGAAAGTCGCTTCTGGGTTCGCTGATTACTGAATGGTACTTTGTTTCCTGATCGGATACAAATTGGCAGAGCTATGGCCATCGGAAGGGGCAAAAGTACTGAAATTAGGAAAACCCACAATTTTATAGGGGAGCCCCTTGGAAAAAATTCGAAAATTTTGAAAACGATATTTAAGCAATGTTTTGAATGAGGAAAGTCGCTTCTGGGTTCGCTGATTACTGAATGGTACTTTGTTTCCTGATCGGATATAAATTGGCAGAGCTATGGGCATCAGAAGGGGCAAAAGTGGAGAAATGAGAAAAACCCACCATTTTATAGGTGAGCCCCTTGGAAAAATTCGAAAACTTTGAAAACGATATTTAACCAATGTTTTGAATGAGGAAAGTCGCTTCTGGGTTCGCTGATTACTGAATGGTACTTTGTTTTCTGATCGGATACAAATTAGCAGAGCTATGGCCATCGGAAGGGGCAAAAGTACTGAAATTAGGAAAACCGACAATTTTATAGGGGAGCCCCTTGGAAAAAATTCGAAAATTTTGAAAACGATATTTAACCAATGTTTTGAATGAGGAAAGTCGCTTCTGGGTTCGCTGATTACTGAATGTTACTTTGTTTCCTGATCGGTTTGAAAGTGTCAGAGCTATGGCCATCGGAAAGAGCCAAAGTGGGGAATGGAGGAAAACCCACAATTTTTCTGATAGCCTACTATTGGCAAATGCCCTGACAAAAATTATCCGAATAGAGAATTACCTTTCGATTGATGTATGAATCATTAAGATCAGAAGCACCAAGAGAGTTTTTAATATTGCGGCTTTATATGTTTTTACCTATATGTATGTTTTTATGCGCACGCTAAGGATTGCTGTTCGCCTTCTTGTGTACTGCCTCCCACAGTGATATATAATTTATATATATGTCTGCAAATGAATGGTGATGGGGAGGAAGAACTGTTGCCACAGCATAATTGCCACATGATTAATTCTTGAGTCAGGCGAAAACTTGTCCGGTCCCGAGACCAAGATAAATGCTAATAGATATACATTTATGTAGACGTTGGGCGATTTCCAGGGCGGTCGACAAATGTTGTGAATAGAGGGCCCATTGCCCAGAGCCGAGAGCCAGAGTCATTTATCATTTCGGACAACAGCAGCAACAACAATTACCACGAATATAAGTGACAATTTTCATGCATTTCCTTTGCTCCGGCCACACGGCGTATGAGCGATGTTGATAATTTTCGGTGAGAAGGAGCCAGAGATAACTACAGACAGCACAAATAATCCCTGTCCAGCAAATCGATAAATGTCCGACCCCTTGACAAGGACATGGTGTCTCGAGAAGAGAGGAAACTACAATGTCCTCATTCACTAAATTCTTCTTCTGGCCGTGCATCCTGGCCATGGCTAACACCCTCATAAACACATCGCCAACTCCAAGTTTTTCCCTTTTCTTTTTCTGTCCATAAGAGTACGGGCCAGAATTATGCGTTGCAAATTTGTTGTTGCCAAATTCAGAGAAAGATTGTACTTGAAACAAATTTATTTAAGATTTAGTTTAAATTAAATGGTTAAGGCAACAAACTTGTTTTACATGTTTTTTTTTCCCAAATAATATTTGTTTTTATAGTATTAGTAAATTAGTAACCTTTTCTTGTAGTGCATCACCCACATTTGATTCGTAAAAAAAGAACGAAGGGCAGATCGAGCGGAAGACGCTTGCAACTGCTTTCCGGACTCGTTTTCTATGTATTTTCTGAGTGCAGACGGCAAAAAAAGCTGACAAAAAAATATGAAAAAGCAAACTGAGTTGCATACAGATACATTGAGACCAGCGACCGGCATTTATGTAAATTAAAAATTATTTCGGCTGTAAAAATTCAGTGGGAATTGTTTTTGGCAAGCGGCATGGCACTGTCTGTGCAAAAAAGGGAAGAAAATAATGTAAAACAATTCCACAAACAAGCAGCAAAGTCAAGAGCAAAAAGTAAGGATACTTCTTTAGAAAGAATTATAAAATACTCTGCCAGGATACTCCAGAAATTAGACGAAGAAAAAAAAACTTCAATCTTGAAGCCTTATTGAATATTAAGTACATTTCTGTCAATACTTTGTTTTTCTTTCTTGTAATTCTTTGTATTTCAATAGACCTCGTTTTAGAGTATTTTCTAAAAAACAACAACTGCAAGGAATATAACCGTCATGACAATGGCAGTGGCAATTGTGAAAAACATTTGCTTTTTTAACTACATTGGCTGTTAAGCAGATATGAGAGATAGTTATTGTTATTATTTTGGGCCATGGTAAGAGCGAAATAAAAGCATTCGGCTAAAATGTTATGGAGATATGCAAGATTGAGTTGGCATTTCAGTTTGTAAAATATCCGACTCACTGTTTACTAGCCGCCATAAATTTTAATATTTATTATAAGATATAGTTTTCGAAACTTACCCCACAAAGTTGTTAAAGACGCTTTTTATTTTTATTTTATTTTTTTTTTTTTGCGCTTCGGAATATTTTCGAAAATTGTTCAATCCACTTTCCATACTTCCGCGCCCCCATTTTTGCTGGCAGTGTGTGTCTGTGTGACTGCATTGCTGCATAGATTATGCAGTTGGCTTCAGTTTATGATTGGCAAATCCAATATACGCTGTGCACTTTGGCAGCAGATTGGCAACCCCGTCCGTGCACGCTGCATAGATCCAAGAGATGGCCCGCCCGGCTGCCACTTTATGCCACTTGCACGCATATTTCGCCAGGCTCACACAACCACATCCACTCACACACACATGCACTCTCCCAACACACATCCCTATCAACGCAGACACAAGATGGCGGCGCGCCCATTTCCGGCTGATGGGGCAATAGCGTGATTATCGGCAGACGGGCAGCGAAGGGCAAACCGCAGCGACAAAAAATGATTGTGTGAAAAGCCGAATGGTGGGGTATAGAAGACTCTATGAATACTTTATAAATTTATAAATTAAAATAGTAGTATTCAAGTATAAAGTCGGTAGTATTTTACCTACTTAACTAATGTTTAGTATTTAAGTTTGAAGGCATGTTACCAATAAGTCAACCGGGAATCTTAAAAACCATATTCCCTACCAGATATGTGGGCATGCCTAGAAAAAGAACATGTAAAGGCCAACACACACTCGCAGTGAGTTTGGCAAAATTGCTGCCGCAGCAGTAAGCTGCAAAATAAGCCAAAAATATGCGTTATCAAGCTGGGCCAATAAAAAAAAGCCATGGCCCAGGCGCACACAAACACAGAACCGTGCATTTTAGCCAAGAGCACAGCTGGAAAAAACGAGTTGTAACAGTGGTATACAGAAGGATTTACAGATAGTGAATAGGTTTAAAAAAATTTATAGATTTTTAAAAATAAATATTATAAACAAATATAATAAACTTGATTCTAATACAAAAGTAAGGTACTCAAAATGAAAGTAATATTTTTGTCCTTAAAAGTTATGTTTTATAAATAGACTTATATTATGTATTTCTAACAATATTTAGTGTCGTTAAAATATACATTTTTTAAAGACACTGTCCCCATGGTGTGTGTAAGTGGACCACTTGCATTTGAATCGCTGCTGACGCTGGCCGCCGTCGCAATTTTGCATTACTTTGCATAACCGAGCCGAGAAGGAGAGTCTCCTGCTGTGGGAGCTGGGCTGGGTTTTGGGAAAGGAAAGCAGAAAGGATGTGAAGCCTGGTAGACTGGCGGCCTGGTGGCCTGGCATGGCAGGTCCTGGTGACTGAGCCTAGAAAATGTGGAGTTTTGCCGCTTTGCCTTTATTTAACCATAAACTGTTCTTTCATGGTCATTATGGAGGCTTCCTCTAACTGGTTGCCACACATTATTCTTATTTATCGGTGGCGCAGCAGCACACGAGTGCCTTTTAGGGGCCAAAGGATTAGGGCTATAGATTTACTCTTCCCTTGTATTAAAGTTAATAAAATATAGATAAAATTTAATAAATAATGGCGCCCTAATTGAAGTAAAAAAGT